ATCATTAGAGTCTGAGGAGAATGGTGTTGCGAGGAGTTGCCAGGGGATCTGGCTGATGCTCAACACTTAGGGGAAGGATGAGAGGGATGTACAGACAGTTACTGGTACCATTGGAATTGGAACTCTTTGCTTGCTGCAGAGGATGGGGATGGAGCACTTATGGGAGTGTCCTGGGTGCTGTGATCTCGATTCTTAATTCAACATTCTAATAGACAGTTCACTATCTTCTTCTTCTTCTTCACTTCCTCTTTTACCGCTGTGGGTGTCGAGGGAGATATAAGGTTCTGTTTCTAGCTCTTCTGGCCGCCATGACCATAGGCACATCATGCTGTTGTAGAGTTTCTCTGATGTTATCCTTCCATATTGTTCTTGGTCTACCTCATGCTCTACGTCCTTCTTCTCTTTCCATGTATGCTTTGTATGGTATGGTGTCACAAGGCATTCTCTCTAAGTGGTCAAACCATTTCACTTGCTGTCTTTGTATGTAATTTAGAATTGGTTCTGTGCCAAATTTTTCTCTTATGATCTCATTCTGATCTTATCTCTTATTGTCACTCCTACAGCCCTTCTCAGAAATTTCCATGGTTACTAATTTTCTTTTATGGTTTGTTGTGAGTGACCATGTCTAGCACTGGTAGCACAGAGTTGGAATAAATATGCTTTGAATAAGATGTCTCTTTGTGCTGATTGGGATTGTCTTATGCTGTACAAGGGGTGCTAGCTGTCCCAATACTTGGTTTTGCTTTACTGCATCTAATGTTAATTTCTTTATCCAATTTCCCATCTTCAGTAAATGTAGATCCAATATACTTAAGCTCAGATGCCTGTTTAATGCCTTTGCACTCTATTGCTATGTTTAGATCTGTCTTCTTTTTTCCTCTGCAAAGAGTAATTCGTTGATCTTACTAACATTTTCATTCATGGGATTGGCATTCTTGCATATACTGTCGATGTAGGTGATAAACAGCAGTAGTGATAAGACACACCCCTGTCTTATTCCAGATGTTACTGTGAATGGATGAGATGTTCCCTGATTTATTCTAACTACACTTCTACAATCCCTGTATAAACTTTTGCACACTTCGATGAGGTGTTCGCCTACTCCATATCTTGCCATTACTTTCCATAATAATTGTCTGTCGACTCTGTCAAATGCCTTCTCCTGGACTACGAATGCCACAAATAAGTTCTTATTGTATTCATTGTTCTTTTCTATTAACTGTTTAAATGTGAAGATTGCATCTGTGCAGCTTCTATTTCTCCTAAATCCCATCTGTTCTTTTGCCAGCTGTGGTTCTATCACTGGTCTCAGTCTTGTTTCTATTATCTTGGCATACATTTTGCCAACATGGCTTAAAAGAGAGATGCCTCGGTATTGACCGCATTCTCGTTTGCTTCCTTTGTTCTTCCACAATGGTATGACTATTGCATGTTGCTAAGTGACAGTTCACTATACAGAGCTATAATTCACCATCATCATGAATTTGTGCTTCTGCTGATAGGTGTTGTGGGGAGAAGCAGTTTGTGATGTATTGCTTGATGGGCAGCAATGGCTAATGTCATTCCATATTGTAGAAGCTCTTTAATGCCATCAATCCATCTTCTCCTTGGGCAGCCTCTTGCTTTTACTTCACATTTTTTCATGTGTAGCGCCTGAGTTGGTAGTTGTTCTGGCTGCATTCTTACTAAATAAAAAAACCATTTGCTGCATGGAATTGTTCCTACAATCTGTAAATATCATTTCTCAGATGGGTAAATTGGCAGCTTTTCTCAGACATCTTATTTCACTGGTGTTAATTGTGTGTAGGTTATTAGCCTTTGATAATGTCCAAGTCTGGCACTGGTAGCACAGTGTTGGTATGAATATGCTGTTTATAATGTTTCTTGGCACTTATATTTATATTTGCATTGGCATCTTGTTTTTATTTCCGGATGTATTTCTCCCCTCCTCCGAGAATATACTTCCTAGATATTTAAATTCTCTAACTTGCTTCAGGCTAGTACCATTCAACCCGATATGTAGCAGACTAGGAATTCTGCTGACTTGCATTGCTTCAGTTTTAGTAGTATTTATTTTCATCTTATATCTTGTGCATGTTGAAGTTAGTCTGTTCAAATGTTCTTGTAGTCTACTCCCCTCATTGTAGAACAGGCACTGATCATCTGTAAATCTGAACTATTATTATAGGTTTAGGCTTAGTTTTTTAACGACGGATCAACATCACGGCACAAGGGTAAGAACCCATAAGTGCTCCGTTCTACCCCTAACTCAAGCCTGAGTCTGAAGATAATTCAGCGCAGTGCATGAACTTCTAGCACTGGCAAGGACCCTGAAATACTTTGGGTAGATTTTTAACTCCAAATTTGGCCTGGGCAGCACTGTTAGCCTACTCTTTTGGATTTCCAACTGCCAAGGGATTTATTACGTGCGCAACAATACACAAGGGTGTCCGATCTTACTACCCAGAGACCAGGGAAAATTACTAGAAGTCCATGTGGAAAAAAAAATCCCAGCTTTAACCTGGAACCTCCAGCTCTCAAGGTGTAGGCCATGCCTCGAGACCACTACTACACTGAATCACTACTTGACTGAACCAATATCTATGACACTAAACCACTACTTAACTTAACCAATACCTGCCTACACTAAACAACCATCTACTACACGGAACAACTACTACACCGATCCAGAATCTATGAGTAGTATACTAAACCACTACTAAACGTAGCCATTACCAGCGACATTCAACAACCACCTACTACACTGAATCACACTACACTAAACTAGTATCTATGACACAGAACCACTCTTAAACTAAACAATTACCTACTACACTAAAGAACCACCTACTAAACTGAACCACACTACACTGAACCAGTATCTATGTCACTAAACAACTACTAAACATTACCTACTACACTGAACCACTACTAGACCTAACCAATATCTATGACACTAAACAACTACTAAACATTACCTACTACACTGAACCACTACTTGACTGAACCAATGTCTATGACACTAAACAACTACTAAACATTACCTACTACACTGAACCTTTACTAGACCAAACCAATATCTATGACACTAAACAACTACTAAACATTACCTACTACACTGAACCACTACTAGACCGAACCAATATCTATGACTCTAAACAACTACTAAACATTACCTACTACACTGAACCACTACTAGACCGAACCAATATCTATGTCACTAAACAACTACTAAACATTACCTACTACACTGAACCACTACTTGACCGAACCAATATCTATGACTCTAAACAACTACTAAACATTACCTACTACACTGAACCACTACTAGACCGAACCAATATCTATGTCACTAAACAACTACTAAACATTACCTACTACACTGAACCACTACTTGACTGAACCAATTTCTGTGACACTAAACAACTACTAAACATTACCTACTACACTGAACCACTACTTGACTGAACCAATTTCTGTGACACTGAACCACTACTAAACCTAACCATTACCTACTGCACTAAACAACCACCTACTACACCAAACCAATATCTATGACACTGAACCACTACTAAACCTAACCATTACCTACTGCACTAAACAACCACCTACTACACCAAACCAATATCTACTTCACTGAACCACTACTGAACTTTCCTTTCTGCACTGAACCATCGCCTGTCTAATCTTCTTAATCAAGAGCTTTGCTGACTGGCATGGGTGATCAAGCCTCTCCACAACCTGTGTTCTTCACTGGTAAATATCAGTTTGGGTGCTGACACCTCTCCTTGCAGTGACAAAAGGCTATCAAGAATCATCTTACAATGTCTTACTCTGTCTCATTTTCCACTGATATCTCCAAGGGTCACAGATTGTTGCAGTTTCCTTCTTCTCATGACTTGACACCACCCTCCTCCTCCCCCTCCCCCCAAATGATGACCGTTTCTTTCTGATGTTTGTGGTAAGTTGTCTTCAAACCCTCACTTCTTTCAAAACATTTGGGTTGCTCTTTTAGGCTGTCCAGGCAATTCTAAGGTAAAACCACATCTGTGAGACCTCTAGATCGGCTTGTTTATTAATTGTCCAGGATTCATAGCCCTATCTTCAAACACTGTATAGCCTGCAATAATTCTTTTCTCACCTCCAGTGACATTGATAAATTTGCATTAAATGTTCTTCATGTTATAAAATGCGGTTTTAGCCTGTCTGATTCTGTTCTGATTATCTTTGATACATCTTCTGTCAGATGTTATCCATGTGCCTAGATGCTTGCTTACATTTTAACTTGTCCTAAATAAAACGCCTTAATTTTTTTTGTTTTTTTTAAATACATGTGGGCACTATTCTTTTCTTGAATATCACCTTTACTTCTGTCTTCCCATTATTCAAGCTGAAGCCTGTTTGATCACTTTCTACCACCACTGTATAAATCAGCTGGTTATAGCAGTGATTTATATGTTTGGTACAGCACTGATAGATTGACACTCAACTACTCTACCAAAAACATTAGCTGTTAATGAAATTCTTAGTGATTGGTACGGTTTATCATGACGGCACTCCGGACAGATCCATAGGTGCTCTGATCTCTGTGTAAAACAATTGATGACACTTGTTTTCTGTGTTGTTAATGAAACATCTTGTCCCCTTAGTCAGGTGTTCATTTCTTGCAGCTCCAGGCTGTACTCCCATGTCCATCAGCTTAGACAGGGATATGAAGTCATGCCCCTTGGCGCGCTAGTTGTCATGTAAGTGCTACACAGGGCTTTGGTAACATCGTTTCTGTCCGGTGCCAGACCAGCCATAGCAACCGCTGTGTCTGCAAGATAATCTCCATACTTATTCCCTTGCATGAACTGGCACAAAGATGAAGGTTAGGACAGCATTTTACTTAAATTCTTGTCAAATGACACGAATGTCCCTGTGAACGTACAAGTATTATTGAACATGTTTGCACACAACTGCCCAACTGTTCTTCTACTTCTTCCTCACCCATCCTGCAGTGCTAGAGCCACTCAAGGAAGCTGGAGGAACAAGCAGCCTCAGCACCAGCCGGAGCAACAAAACCTGAGGAGGTCTGATCGTAACAGACACACCACAGTCACGTAAGTTTTGTAGAGTGATGTGTTGTGCTTTGTCACCACCACAGAGATATCATGGGAGCATTAAGGGGCCTGAGCTTTTTTAAGTGTGCAATAATAATAATTGTAATAACAATAACTATTAGTATTAGATTGGCCAGAATCGCTGGACTAGAGTCTGTCCAGGGTACTGAGAGGATTGCACAGTATTGAGTGGAATGGAGGACTATACTATGAACCTTATGTGATGTATTACCACACAACAGGATGTTTATTATTATTATTATAAGCTGTATGGGCAGAATTATATATATACATGCTGCAGAAGATCGCAGATTGTGGAGAGGCATGATTGTCCACGCCAGCCGGCAAGGCACATGATGATGACATTTGTTTTGTGTGTGTGAAATAATATGAAATATATTTAAAAAATACTTGCACAGAGAAATCTATGGGGTTAGGGGAAAGGCACAAACCCCCTTGCAAAGTCATTTCAGGGGGGGGGGGAGGGGGGGGGGGGGAGAGACTAACAAGTTGTGAGGGGGCTTTGACTTATGTTGCTGAGCTCCCATGTTCTGGGGCATCGGGGTAGGGTTGACTGGTTACATCTCATGGAATGCTTTATGTGTTTATGGTAGACTGCTAATAGGCTCCACTCCCTTTGTGAGTTTGGGCTCCATTTTGGGGGTGAAGAGTTAGTTAGTTAGCCCTAGTTAGTTGGGTCCTCATTGCAAGCGGACATGTCCATACAGGACTCCCCTCAGTATGAACCCCAACGTCCCGATGGCTAATAGTTTAATTAAAAGTCTTCTGGCGTAGCTGGTGTGCATCTGTTTTTCGCTGTGCCGGCTTAATTCCCTTGTCGGCATTCTGGCGAGTGACTGTCACTGCCAACAAATCGTCTAAACCCCATTTGTCTGAGGGCATTGATAATATCAGCATGATCCATAGGCTGACCGTCAGTAGTGATAGCGGATCCAGCCAACCTGTCAGCTCTTTCATTTCCATCGACGCCTGCGTGTCCCGGAACAAAAATAAAGGTGACTCCACGGACAGTGGACTTCTGTAATGATTCAAGCCATTGTCTTCGCACTGGAACCTGCCTGAACCCTCCGGATCATACTCATTGAACACTGAGTATACACACGCGTGTGTATTTTTGTGTTTCAAGCCAGACAAGCACTTGTGTCACTGCCATCACCTCCATCGTCATGCTGCTGGTTGTCATGGTGAAGGCCCGTTGGCTTCTTTGACTGTTCTGCCCGCTGAGCGTGCTGTAAATGCCCATGCGCTTCTTCTTCTTTGGCGTATAACGGATCCGTCTGTATAGATTATTGCATACTTCGTCTGAATTTTCACCGATGAGAGCGTTGACCTCTGCATTAACAGCAACAGGATTCTCTTCTCTACATCGCCTGTTGAGTGTGACTACAGGAAAATGTACAAATAAACGCCTGAGGCACAGGTATCCATTCTGCACCAGGTATGATGTCGGTTAGGCTGCATATTTGCCTAATAACATCTTCTGCCCGACCTAGCCACGATTTCCCCCTCTTCAGTCTGTCGCCCTTTTCACTAAAAAGCGCTTGATGCAGTGGGTGTTTCTTATCAGCACATATTTTGAGATATGCCCGAGCCCTCCACATCCTGATCCTTTGGTTCATTGTTGGAAAGTCAAGTAGATACCTCATTGCTCCACAGGGTGAAGAAGTATAGCCCTGCTGTCCCCCTAGCAAGCATGTCATACAAGACTACAAGTTAGGGGTGTTTAATTCAAAGTCAGAGTGCATCTGCCTGAGAGGCACAAAAAAAAAAAAAAAAACAACAACTGTCTGCGAACACATAAACCAGATGTTCATGAAAAACTCAAGTTCTGTAACAAGATCAAAGTCCAGAAGTGGATGAACAACCATAACTTTCTGCTGGAGTTTACAACCGGTAAACACCAAGAAGATGGTTGAGCTTCATAAAAGAAGTAGAAACAGCACTGGAGTCCAAATTCTCATCTGATAATGTTGCTCAAAGTACAACTGTTGCTGTTACTACTACTGCTACCTTGCTGCCATCACTGCCCCTCTCATTAAGCTTTACTGTGACCCCTCTACTGCTTCTATTCCCTCCAATATTACACCAGCCACAATGTCCTATTCTAACAGTGTTGCCTTCTATTGTTTCTACTGCTACAACTAACACAGTACTATACTACTGTTGCTTGCATACGTTTGTGTCTCTGCAGATCTCACTTGAGTGAGGCCAGTGACAACAGCATCAGTGAGTTTGAAAGCCCTGTCTCCAGCACACAGTCACATCCTCACCAACAACAACAACAACACCACCACCATCAACAGTTTTATTACCAGCAGCAGCAGCAGCAGCACCATCATCAGCCTCCCTTCCACAGGGCAATTACTCCTCAGCAAATAATGAGCTCCCCAATGACCCAGAGTGTAAGTAACATTCCTGCTTAGTTGTGAATCTTTCACGGACATTGACAACAAACCCCAGCATTTGCTGTTTGTGGGTTTACATGGCAGTTTTATGTTCAGAAGTTTTTCTTGGCTTTCTGAATGGCAAAGCTCCCTGTGTACGTTGGGGGACCCCATTGTGGTGAAAACTAGAATAGACCCACTGCCTCCCTGTGTGTGTTGGGGGACCCCATTGTGGGGAAAACTAGAATAGACCCACTGCCTCCCTGTGTGAGTTGGGGGACCCCATTGTGGGGAAAACAAGATTAGACCCACTGCCTCCCTGTGTGAGTCGGAAACCCCATTGTGGTGAAAACTAGAATAGACCCACTGCCTCCCTGTGTACGTTGGGGGACCCCATTGTGGTGAAAACTAGAATAGACCCACTGCCTCCCTGTGTACGTTGGGGGACCCCATTGTGGTGAAAACTAGAATAGACCCACTGCCTCCCTGTGTGAGTTGGAAACCCCATTGTGGTGAAAACAAGAATAGACCCACTGCCTCCCCAACAATCATTTCCTAGGAGTTAACTTACTGGGGGGCTTCCTTTGAAGTCAGAGTGTATCTGCCTGAGGGGCAAGGGACCAAATGTCTGCACACAGGGAAGTCATATATGTAAAACAGATGTGCATGCAACCCTCAGGTTCTGAGTCCAGAGTTGGACAAACAATAAAAAATGTTCAGTCACCATTTCTCCATCTTTCTTGCTCTTTCAGCTGTTCAGTCACCATTTCTCCATCTTTCTTGCTCTTTCAGCTGTTCAGTCACCATTTCTCCATCTTTCTTGCTCTTTCAGCTGTTCAGTCACCATTTCTCCATCTTTCTTGCTCTTTCAGCTGTTCAGTCACCATTTCTCCATCTTTCTTGCTCTTTCAGCTGTTCAGTCACCATTTCTCTATCTTTCTTGCTCTTTCAGCTGTTCAGTCACCATTTCTCCATCTTTCTTGCTCTTTCAGCTGTTCAGTCACCATTTCTCTATCTTCTTGCTCTTTCAGCTGTTCAGCCACCATTTCTCTATCTTCTTGCTCTTTAACTCTTTGAGTACCAAGGAACGCATCATACGTTTATAGCTTCCTACCTAGAAGCCCAGTGAACGCACAATGCGCTGATTTTATGACTTTATTTACTACCCCTGGGCCTGTGATGCTAAACCTCATGGGACTCAAAGAGTTAAGCTGTTCAGTCATGATTTCTCTATCTTTCTTCCTCTTTCAGCTGTTCAATCACCATTGCTCTATATTTCTTGCTCTTTCAGCTGTTCAATCACCATTTCTCTATCTTTCTTGCTCTTTCAGCTGTTCAATCACCATTTCTCTATCTTTCTTGCTCTTTCAGCTGTTCAGTCACCATTTCTCTATCTTTCTTGCTCTTTCAGCTGTTCAATCACCATTTCTCTATCTTTCTTGCTCTTTCAGCTGTTCAGTCAGCATTTCTCTATCTTTCATCTTTTATTGACCACCACCACAGTGTGAAGCACTAGAAAACATCAAGTATAATAACTGCAGACACAACCACTCACTGCTCATTCCTGCATCTTTTCTCTCTTCAGACGGGAACTCCGCACACCCCTATGACCCCTCAAGGCCAAGGCCATTATTATCAGCAGCAGAGCGGTCTCTTCGAGGATGACTCATCCCAGTTCATCGAGGAAGCGTCTGTGAGTACATCAAGCATCTTTATTCAGCCAGCGTTATCAAATTACCCATAGTCATTTTAGTCATCAAAGGTTTTCGGCTACTGAATCTGTTCTGATGGGTTCTGGGTTTCTGGTGGTGGTGGTGGTGGTGGGGGGGGGGGGGGGGGGGGGGGGGGGGGTTTTCCTTCAAAGTCAGAGTGCATGTGCCAGAGAGGCAAGGAACCAACAGTCTGCTTACAAATAAGCCAGATCTGTAAAATAGATGCATATGCATAAGCTAAATTCCAGAAATGGATGAAAAACTTGGACTTGCTGATGCAAATAAACAAACAACTGGATTATGATGTGAATGCATACAAATAGCCGTCTTACTAATTATTTGTTGCTTTCATATCTGATAACTTTTTTTTCTTCAATTTATTAAATTTGACAATTATTTTGTTTTCTATAACTGCTTGTTTCCATTTATATGGTTTTTATTTCCTTCCTTCTCTCAATGTTTCTTTATTTATTGACATAAACAGACTTCTAGGTCTGCATTAAAAAAAAGTTTCAACATGCTTTTTTAAAAATCATTTTGTATTCGGTAATAGTCTTTGTTGTTTTTCTTCTCCATTGTATTTCTGCTTTGTTTATTTCAACTTATCTGTTCTCTGTGTGGGTTCTGGGTCCCATTTTGGGGTGAAAAAATATTAGACCGGCTGTCTCCCCCCCCCCCCCCCCCACAACAAGCATGTCATAAAAGGTCACTAATTAGGGGTGTTTACTTCAAAGTAGGAGTGCATATACCTGACAGGTGAGAAACCAACAGCCTAGATACAAACAAGCCTGATCTGTAAAATATGTGTGTACTCGAAACTCAAGTTCTGGAACTAGGCCAAAGGCCAGCAGTGGATGAAGAATCACAACTTTCCTGCGGAAGA